GCATTAGGAGGACAGTTTTAAGAATTAAACATCTCAGGTTTTAATTTGCAATTTGTAAGACAATCTGATCTTTACAAAAGTTTATCGCAGGAGTGTTTCTATATATAAAGTTTAAACTAGGAAGCCAAATGTATTTGGTTGTGTATTATGCAAACATCGAGACAAAAGGCCACCTCACTTGCCAGTATTTACCTATATATTCTCCAGTCAGACAAATGTAAACTTTTGGACCTGATAAACTCTACATTCATTTAACAAGTGATACCGAAGAACATTGACTGACCTTAAAAAATATGCTGATTGAACACGGGATTACATATTTGGCGAGTAGTATGTTTGTCTTAACCCGGTCAAATCAAATCCTTCAGAAGATTTTCTACAGGCACAATTACTACACGTCTATAGAAATCTTTGTCATACTACGGTGTGGATATCTATTCACAGGTAACATAACTGTTGTCTGTACAATTCTAATACTAACTATAGAACCAGCTTTGTCATGGTGGGTTTTAATTTTTTTGTTTTAATGTTTATGTTATATCTAGACTATAACATTTGGGATTGACAGTTGTACTTGAATGATAGTTTTCATCTTAATTTGGAATTTAATATTAAGAGCAATAACGGGCCATATTGCACACAACTGATGCTGTAAGAAGTGTAGGTTTAGTGCATATTTAAAGATATAGTGACATTTTATTGTAGCCCCTTACAGTCTCCTGAAATCCTATTTTTCTCAAATATCAGATATTATGTTTATGATTAAGAATTATTTTTTTTGTTGTATGCAAACATCTTTCAGTAGACAAAACTGTGTGTTTTCTTCATCCCTAATGAGGAAGAGACATCATACACTTCTATGTGGAAATCTGTCAGGTAGGATTGTATTACCTATGACCAGGTGTGTGACAACATAAACTCCTAACTACAGAAATACAGGTAAATCTATCATGCTCCCTCCTGATACAGTGTTGACAGACAAGTGAAGTGTGTACTAAGGAAGTTTTACCTGTGGTGAAGGTATATATTGCGATATGTGGCTCGATACAGAACAGCTCTCTGGACAGATCAATACATACACAATGTTAGAGCCCAAACACCAAATAAATCTACTCAGGTATACAATACAGGCCTCAGAGACATATAATATACCTGTATGTACCCTTACTGAAGGTGTTAATCACCTGTCACTAACCATTGGGCCAGCATCCCACCATGGAGCTGAGAGACTGACAAACATTCTTTAGCCAGGACCACCTAGAGAATGGGAACTCATCTGCTGAAACGTCGTAATAAAGGACTAAAACCTGCTATTTAAATAAATAGAGACTGAGAGACAGAGGACCTGCTGAAAGGCCATAATAGTGGACGTAAAACTTGTTAAATAAGAGAGACAGACACATACTTTACACCCCTCTCTCTCATCCAGCAGCATATCGTCCTCCATCTCTGGTCCTGACCATCAAGGGAATCCCTTACTCCTCTATCTCTGGTCCTGACCATCAAGGGAGTCCCTCTCTGGTCCTATCAAGACCATCCTCTATCTCTGGTCCTGACCATCAAGGGAGTCCCTTACTCCTCTATCTCTGGTCCAGACCATCAAGGATGTCACTTACTCCTCTATCTCTGGTCCTGACTATCAAGGGAGTCCCTTACTCCTCTATCTCTGGTCCTGACCATCAAGGGAGTCCCTTACTCCTCTATCTCTGGTCCTGACCATCAAGGATGTCACTTACTCCTCTATCTCTGGTCCTGACCATCAAGGGAGTCCCTTACTCCTCTATCTCTGGTCCTGACCATCAAGGGTGTCACTTACTCCTCCATCTCTGGTCCTGACCATCAAGGGTGTCCCTTACTCCTCTATCTCTGGTCCTGACCATCAAGGGTGTCCCTTACTCCTCTATCTCTGGTCCTGACCATCAAGGTAGTCCCTTACTCCTCTATCTCTGGTAGTCCCTTACTCCTCTATCTCTGGTCCTGACCATCAAGGGAGTCCCTTACTCCTCTATCTCTGGTCCTGACCATCAAGGGAGTCCCTTACTCCTCTATCTCTGGTCCTGACCATCAAGGGAGTCCCTTACTCCTCTATCTCTGGTCCTGACCATCAAGGGAGTCCCTTACTCCTCTATCTCTGGTCCTGACCATCAAGGGAGTCCCTTACTCCTCTATCTCTGGTCCTGACCATCAAGGGAGTCACTTACTCCTCTATCTCTGGTCCTGACCATCAAGGATGTCACTTACTCCTCTATCTCTGGTCCTGACCATCAAGGGAGTCCCTTACTCCTCTATCTCTGGTCCTGACCATCAAGGGTGTCACTTACTCCTCTATCTCTGGTCCTGACCATCAAGGGAGTCCCTTACTCCTCTATCTCTGGTCCTGACCATCAAGGGAGTCCCTTACTCCTCTATCTCTGGTCCTGACCATCAAGGGAGTCCCTTACTCCTCTATCTCTGGTCCTGACCATTACGAGACTGATTGACAAGACACCTCTATTCAAAACAGATTTAACTGTACTTTTCAATTCCTTTTCAACTGTGTTCACTTGTAATAAATTATTTTTATTTCGAATATCCTCCATACATTGCCTAAGCCACTTTCACTCCCTAACAAGAAGGAACGTAATCTTGTATTTTGATATCTATCAAAAGTACACCCCACACACTGATATCTGCCTTTCCTTTGTAGTTGTTGTTAAACTGTCTACCATCATAGCCAATGTATCACATTATCTATTAATGTCACAGTCACCAACAATCTTACTTTGTTATTCTTTGAGTCATACTGGAACAGACACCTGTTAAAAACTCCACAGACAGTTAATACGACATTTAACAGGATCAGATCTCATTAAAAACCTAATTTTTGTTGTTGACATTTGATCTGTAATTAACTGTCAGTGTTAATGTGTGTAAGAATCCATCACACAGTCTGTCTACTGATTTCCAAGTCTTGATTTGTACTGTTGTTATTTTCATATATGATTATAACATACTTGTATACATCTAAAAAGCGAATACACTCCTTGTCATTTATGACACATCACAACTCTCTTAGATTACACGATAATATAAAAATGTTTACAAATAAATTGAACTTTACAGATCTATAAATTCCTGTCTGGAATACCAAAAGGTAAATCTAAGACATCAAACACAAATGATGATCTCATGAACGATGATGTAACTACGACGCAAATTCTTTTAGTACATTATGTACACACAAAACTGCACATCAAAGATATAAGATGTAAATATGAGATAAATCTTATATAAGATGTTTTCTAGTAAACAGATACATTCCTTTGACACCATCTCTACAGGTAAATTGTATTTGTCCTTCCTGATTTAATTATCATTATAAGCCATTAAACAGGCTGAGATCATCTACCTATTTATAAATTTCCCTCCTACAAAGAACTTTTCAACGAGTTCACACGACTCTATGGGTTTTTTACATCACTATTTGCTCTGATCGTGACATTTTGCAGTGTGACGCATTACTAACATCTGAAATTAAAGCTAACATCAACTGTGGAGGTGTCACATCTCTATTATGTGAGGTAATTGGTACCCATACAACCTATCACAGACTTGAAATCACTCACACCCTCAAACTGAATACAGATCATCTACCTATTTATACATGTAACAGGTAAACATACATATATAGCATCAACATCTTAACACAATCTATATATCTTTTGACCCTGATATAGATTATACAGATACAATTGCCGATCATCTTTCAGAAGGAGACTTTATTTCATTTTCTGGCCATCTGTACCCTTTCTTTCAGTTGTCTTAGCAATATCCAGAGTTTGTTGTCTTGTCCTCTATACATATCTCTGACCAACATGACTATTTTGTTAAAAGAACCATCACAGGTCCTTCTACACAAGCCTAACAATGGGATGACACTGTTGACATAGTCGCCTCCTTGAGATGAGTATTAGTTTATGTCCCTATCTCTAAAGACTATTGAGGAATGTTATATTAATATAACTTGACTAATCGTAATGGAAGAGAGTGGAGGAGGGGTCACAAAGTGGGTTAGACAACATAAAATCAATATAAACCAAACTCTATGAAGTGTTCATCTAACTGAAGTTAATGATCCTAAAAAATGTAATGTAGGCCATAGAAAAATTAAGATCAAGAGATCAGAAATCAGAAAAATTATCTGATACCTAAAATTGAAGACAAAGGTGTCTAAAGGATAATTCAATTATGTTTAAGCTGCCATCTTTATTTAAAGCCAGCTGAACAATTATCTTGACCCTATGACTGAAAGTGAAGGTGTTGTAAAGGGAATCCCATAATGTTGAAGCCGTCACAAGCTGAAGTTAATCCAGACAGTAAACTTCAGAGATGATATCGAACAACTAGAAATTGTCCACACAAATTCTATAACAGGTGTGTGATAAATCTGTTTTCTATCGATTTATTGACAAAGCAATGAGGTTTAAAGTAGGTGATGACAAGCCAATCAATAAAACTTTACACTGTAGCACATTATACCAGCAACATCCCGAGTCAAGTCGATTACCCATACCTAAACACTCCCCTATCTTCTTACACATTCCGACAGGCTTATGTACAATACATATTTACCATTGACAACTTCTATGTGTTCAACAATTCTGACTTAGATATAAGAAATATTTTCCACTAGTAAAGTTTTTAATTCTAAAACGTCTTTTAGAAGGAAGATCAGAATTCCATTTAGGGTAAGCAGTAAACAAACAGAATAACCTTCCCTGGTGACCATGGAATCAATAATTAAGACTCCGAACTTGACAGACATAACATGATTTTCCAAGTGTATTCCTTGTGTAACTCCAGGGAAAACAAGACGTTTTACACACAGATGATGTTGTACTATATATGGGCACAGTGGAAAATGAGTTTTTTTATAAAACGGCATATTTTACTTGACTTTAGGTTCTTTGCAAAAATGTGGTTATAGTTTCAGAAATGTATTTTGAAAACATGGTACTCACCAATTACTGCATGTACCCGAACTGTTAGTTGTGTTCTCAAAATTAATGCATTCTTCCTCCTGTAATTATAAGACCAAATCCAAACATTGTAAATTATAAACATTGTGAATATACATGTATACAACATCAAAGCATTGCAAACGATATAACTACCATATCGTATACACGTCAGACTGAAATAAGAGAATACATAGTTTTATAATGACATTGACATTATCTGATAATCAACTTAATTCATAGTATCTTGTTTTAATTTATTATGTACATTATGTTTTCTTTGGATGATCTAGATTTCAGAAATTTGCTTGTCACAGAGTGACAATGTTACATACCAACAAAGACATTAACCTAGGGCAGTAGGAGCACCCTAAGGCTGGAGACTTCACTTACTATCTTCATATGAGACTGTCATAAATTCAGAGATGAAAACCACAGAATGATGACAAAAGATTCCCATTTGCTTCTGACATACACTATAATACCCAATTCAAGATCTCATCTAATTGTAAAGGGATAATAAACGCCATGAACTGCTTTTGATATATATATATATATATACACCAATTGAAAACCATGTACTTTGTATACATATATTGCCCATTATAACATGTATGCCTCAAGGCCACCAGCATTTAATCTATTGCATAATATTTTAAATAAACCACATAATTGCTCATAAAGACCAATAGAAATTTGAAATAATAACATCAACAATCTTGTAGCTTTGGAATTTTTAGTATAATGTTACATGTATACTGTTTGTTTAACTACATAATTGAAAATCATATATGATTATTCTCAATTTAATTTCAACATGTGTCATATATTAGCTCTGTTTTAAGCCAAATCATGATGGGCTTTACTGCTATCAATATCTCTACTCGAATACCAACTACCCTGAATAACCCAGCATCAGGTGATCTTATCCAAGAATGCAATGTATTGAGTGAAAGGTACACAAATTTAAAAGCTTCTACAAGTAGAAATGTAAATAAAGACAAGTTATGAGCTATGCCATAAAACTTCCATCAGCATTACTCAATATGTATATAAAAATATTACATGACTGCATGTTTATATTATATCTATGGTAAAAAAACCAACAAAGACTTGAAATTGAAGAAGATCGTGTAAGATTTTTTTTCTTGATATCTCTTCAATCATAAAAGTCTACGCCCAATGTTAGGAAACAGAAAATATTATGTAAACTGTCTGTACATCCTTGACTCCATAGACAACTGTGTATATTACACATAGATAAAAACTGTTATAAAACATCAAAACCAAGTAATATATTTAATTACTTTAATTAAAATATGTAATGTGTCTAGATGTCATTGTGGTAAATATGATTTAATAGTTAATCATATATATAAACGAGTTGTTAACAGTAACACCTTGTCAATATGTATTACACTGAAAATAACAGGTATATACTTCAGAATATAACAGACCTATGATTATAAATGAGACATGTACTCTGTAAAGCAGAATAGAAATTCAAGCTCAACATATGTTCATGTACAATGAGGCATATAGGTATGAATATATAAAACCTATTAAACCAGTGTGTCATAATTTCATTCTTGGGTGATTGTGATCAATATAAAATATTTTTAATTCAGATTTTGATAAAAAAAATATACTTCAAACAAATTCTGAATATGCCATGATATTGAAATATCATCAATTGCTATTTCACTTTTGATCACCTGTATTTTATTGTCCATAAATTTTTTTCTCAACATTCTACAGCAATTACAAGTGATAACATCAGTGACTACATGTTAATAAAACACAATTTCACCTGAGGTCAAAAGGTTAATCAGTAAAATCTACAGGTGCATCAAAGAACTTGATCATCTGTCTCTGGTTGATTTCAGGACCCTAAAGACCCACTGATAAGCAGATAAATTAGAAAACTCCAAATAGGTATACAGAACATGGAGCATTTGGTTCTTTCCTTTCCTTTGGTAGATAGGTCTTTTGATCCTCTTGTCTTTCTGTGCAGCTAGTTAGATCAATTTATTTCAATGTGGATAACTGTTTTAAATACACAATTATGTATTTTCAAGTAACAGTAATATTTGGCATTGAAAGGAGGGTTTCTTTATTTACTCCCAGTCCCTAGCAAGTTACAAAAGCACATCTGATCATATACATGCATATAAGTGCTGTCCTTGCTATCACAAACCTAATCCTGCTGTCTCTCCTTCCATACCAACTGTATCACTGATCTCCTTTATGAATTTAGAATCAACCTAATTTTTAATTGGGAAGTTATCTCTAATTTTGAAGATAAAACTGCCCATATCTCTATGCCAGTACATCCAGACCATTTACAGATAACACAAATTTTGAATTTTAATAACTTGTAATGTTTTTTAAAGCAGGAAAAAGATCCTATTAAATCAAGAACCATTGAAGGAAAGAAACATTCTTTCAATGACATAAAAGATACATAACTGTAAAATTAGATATTTTCAGTGAGCTAAAGTTTTGTGAATTTTGAAAAAAAAATTGTGGACACCTCATTTCATGAAAAAATATAGGTCAATAGATCTGCTTACACTAATTTTAACAGTTCATGGAATTTATTGATTAAAAGCACCCAAGAAAATCAATGATTTTAGAATTGGAACAAATGACCATGTGATAGTTCTTTTAATAAATTTAACTACCTCTTACTGTGATCTACAACACTACACATCTTCATCCTAATATATCTTACTACCTCTTACTGTGATCTACAACACTACACATCTACATCCTAATATATCTTACGACCTCTTACTCTGGTCTACAACCCTACACATCTACATCTCATTCAACTTGTTCCTTCATAATAATCTAACATTAACCATAAGGTTAGTCTTAACTATTTTTAAACGTCTCTATAAGCTATAGCACTATCAAACACACCTACGTCACAATCTTTTGATGGACAAAATCTTCCTACAGGAGATTTATAATTCTATAGAAAAGCTTACAATCCCACTAAAATACACTGATAGTCAAGCAGGATGTCAGAAGAACTAGGTTTTTTATTTATTACAAACATAGGTAGTTCCCTGGTAGGATAGGTATTTGTCAACATTTTAAACCCACCACGTCTCACAAAACAGAACATCAGAGAATTTGGGTGTGTTTTAAAGTTCCTTAGCCTAAGCTTGGTGCCAGCATGTTACATAATACAGGAATGAAAATGTTTTAAACCAGTAATCTTAAACCTGTTTTGTATACATTGTACACAAAGATAGGACTTACTGGTACAGTTTTAGACAATTTTAATAAACAGAAGTGACTCATCGACATTGTAAAATTTTCAGCACATTCCTACACAAATGATAAATTGTATATGCTGAGCATGAACCAGTATTTCATTGCATTATGAATTAATCACTTCAGTTATTATTACATGTACATGTCATTGTGTACAGATCCCAAGTAATTTCTATTAACAAAATGGTATATCATTCATGGAAAAAATAATATATTTTTGTCATTATATTAAAAATCATATATTTGATTTCATAAATCATGAATGGTCTTTTTGCAACCTTCTGATACTCTGTAAAATGAAAGTATACCTTAACATTGTCACGAAATAACATAAATTGAAATGTTCAAGTTAAATTGCTGAAAGAATTTCAATGTTTAATATCTAAGCTGTCAAACATGCCTAACATTAGAAATTTCTTCTAACAAGATAAATTTCACAACCCAACCCTGTCAATTTATGGATCAAGTGCAGATGTACTAAATCTCAAACAGTTCAGAGAAGATAGTTAAAATTAAAAACACTAGGTGATTGACCCGGTATTCTTCTGAATAAATATCTAGACAACATCTACATTGTATTATGACCATGTACAAATGTATACTGGTACATGCATGTGCTTTTTGGAAATTGATGTCTGAGAGTATCAGTTACCCAGTATATGTAAAATAAAAATGGAACACGATTATAAGCCGTTTCCCCTGTAATAGTACTAATGTACCCCAATATCTTGAAAATAAGCTTAGTAGAGATCATAGAAAGTAGTTTTTAAGATTGATCTTCATAGAAATATTAACTGTATGAACAATTTTACTTAACCTAGAAGATAATATGTATGTAGCACCAGCATCATAGTGAGATACTGGTGACAGAGTACACTTGTATGTTTGACCCCTGCAGCCCAACGAGGTAAAAGAGAAATGACAACTCAAGGATAGACCAGAGGTATGAGCTGACAGTAGTGTAGAAACAATGCATACCAGCTATCACATCCTCTCTAGTAGATAATGATTTTACCCCCTTATAGCCACCCAGTCCCCTCAATTAGTCTCTCCTGTAATGAGGTGGCATCTGCAAGGAGTCTGCCTGCCCTCCCAGCCTATGTCTGCTCCACCATACAACATATATATCATGTGATAGAGAATGAAGCCTACACCATCTTAACATGAAGTATTACAGAAATTATCTCAAAATATAAAAGTAGAGCTGGTGGTTGAAATGATTGGTAATCGTGGTGATAAAGCATATTAAAAAATCATAACTGTTCTAAATGTGATTTAAGACTACCACAAGTAAATTTTCCTGTTCAGTACCTGTACATTACAGCAGAAACAGTATGTACTGCCACGAAAGTGCCTACATCTCAGTCTGCCTACTACCTACTTAAATGAATTCTGATTTTCAACTTTCCATAAATCTTCTCACATTTTTTTTCTTATCTTTTTAGAGAAACATGTTATAATCAAACCACTAGTGAGAGTGTTCTGTTTATCGGAATAACATTGAAATCTCTATCTCTCCTCTCAGTGTGATGTACCATATCTAGTACCCATGTCAAAAGCAGCTACAGTTTCTGGCTAATGAAAACCTACCAGGGGGGATCTATAGTTATAAAACACAAGATTTATTTTGGTAGGTGTATAGTACATGGTACTCATTTCTGTTGATTACATTAAATCTTGACAGAGAATGTTTATTTACTTATTTATTGAAGTAGATGTGAGTTGCTATGAAAACCAGGGCAATTGATTATTTCAATCCTCTTGACTTTAGAGTTCTTCCTCAAATCAATTAGGATCATGTATGGGCTGGAGCCAAGCTATAAGTAAGTGATTGTGCTGTGTATCGCCTACAGTACATTATCTTCAGTTTATTATGCCAACGACTATCATTTCTATACATGATGAAGATCTCTGACCTCAAAATGCACATGTGACCTAATATATATCCATTCCTACATGCCAACTACGTAGTACAAACATCTGATGAGTCCTATCAATTCTTATCATATATCATTTCTGAAAAACGATTTTTTCATTTTCAAATATAGTGTTTATCTAAAATAAGCCCAGACAGGCAACATACAAATTCTGACTGAAAATTAAGGGGTTGTTGGACAATGAAAGCATCCACATATGTATGTAACTTTTTAATTCACTAAAGAACAATAGACAAACATATTTTCCAAATTGAGACTTACAGCTACAAACCGGTAAATATGGCAATATCAACTGAAATTGTATAAAAAGTTACTTAAAAAAAACAATAAGGAAAGATAGAGAATGGAATGACTAACTACCTTGTAAAATTTTGAAAAGGTGGTTCTAAAATAGATGCAAGCCCTGAAAAACAACATTCTTCTTCAGTAAAACATTATTGAACACCTGTTGATCTATATCTTACATGCCTGGACAATGTATATATCCTTATTGTGAAGTTCTTTGCCAATGATGCAAAGACTTCACTTCAAGGTAGACAGTGTTAGACATTCTGGAACAACATGGCTAGCAACATGAAAATATGTATCTAACAACATGGCCAGCAACATGATAATATGTATCTTATAAGATGATCTTTAACAAACATGTAATTATATTTCATCAAACTTCTACTTTTTGGTAAATATCTTTTCAACAGATAACATATGACTTAAAAGTGACACATCTGCTTTCAGTGTCTCAAGAATGAATATGATGGAAACAAGATGGAGATCCTCATCTCTACTCTAAGTTATAATAATATTGGCAAAGTTGCATCTTTTGTGATCAAGTACTGTCAGGTAGGTGTACAAAAAAAGTGTCTTGGCAAATGTCCCAGGTACAGTGCCTCACTGATGAAGGGAATCAGACCTCCAAGCCACACATACATTATATGTTACCTGACAGTGGGGGAGGACCAACTTAGTGTACCAGGTATCATGATATAAGTAGGGTTTACAGTGGAGGGACTTGCAGAAAGAATACAAAACTGAGATGGCATCATCTACATTATAAATGACAATTTCAGATAATTTTTTGTTCTCTTATTCATTTTTGAAAACCTTTGAGTCACACTTATTTTGGGGAGTTCAAATCATATAACATCAAAGCAGATTCCACATATCATATCAAGGAGAGTGACAGAGTAGGTCATCAATATTTTCTACAATATATGTGTACACAGAAATCTTCCGAACAAGCACTGATCTCTGACAAACACTGGCTCCTTCAGAAATTCAGACGTTTTATCATAGAATGTTTCAAGCTCTTTCCTAACCACAATTTCTTGTTTCCAAATATCAGAACATCTGAATAACCCTTAAAGACCTTATCATGAAACCGGATACTAGAGGCATGATGCTCAAATCTCTTCATCTCAAAACACTCATTTTTTTTTTCAAAGACACACACATACACATTGGATATTAAGCTGTACATATTCTAACTGAAGTGTCTGAGATATTGATGGTTACCAGGACAACAGAGACAGTTGAATGTCAAGTACTTACTGGTCTTGGAAGCCCTCAAGTTCGTCAGCCTGTTCATCTACGGTGGATTCCAAATCCAAGTATGTCCCATAGTCTCCCTGGGAGCCATTGTGATAACGATATATCTGTAGAGCGCAGTCCTCAAGCTAGTAAAATCAAAAGAATCATGAGAAAGTTAAATAATTATAGTCATCATCTATCTATTTGTTCAAAGTTCAATATCTTTAATATATAAAGTACCAAAATTGTTTCACAGTAATAATACCCTTCAGTGATATTTGGGTTTCAAATATTTGAGTCATGGATTCATGCTTATGCTGTGATGCTCAAATTTTAAGAACCCACTATAACTATTTGTAACTGAACTCATCAAAAGTTTGGAAATGGGATTCACCAGGAAAAATCCTACAAAAACTACTGCTCCCATAGTATATTACAGTGATACTTGTGACCCAATTATTTTTGTTTTCGACTCATGCTTTTCCTGTGGGACTTGCTTTAACTCTTTACAAGTAGACTCATCAAAATTATGGAAATGGTGCTCCGGACTCACCAGACAAAATCCAACAAAAATCACTGTATCATATGTACACTTAAACTTCAGTTAGAGATTGTTATCAAATTAAAATATTTTATTGTTAAGTTGGCTGATGTAAAATGCTCCCCTCCTTAAAAGCAAATGGCTATGATTCTATGAATAGGTTGGCATGTAATTCTTGTGAAGAGTAGCATTTATTAAACATCTATGATGTATTGTGTAGTGGTGTGAACAAAATTGTTCTTTATACAACTGCCAACACACGTCACACAGATTAATGTATTTATATATACAAACTTGAAACATAAACAAGATAAAAATAACACTGCTAACCATGAATCATACAATATGTTCAATTATAACGTCGTCCAGAATGAATATGTTAAGAGGTAATAAAAGTGACCAAATCATCTGCAATAGCAGTGAGACGTTATCTATTTATAGAAACAGTGCTGTGTGGTACATACATGTCATTTCAGTTAATATGATTTAATTTTATATACGTAAGCAGACTGAATTATTTTTAGAGTTTTATGTTTGTAATCTATCAACAACTTGTTGCTACTACGCAGTTCCATTGAAAATACATGTTCAAAAGATACAGACGGAGAAAACAACTGTGTATTCTTAGTTACTTAGGAAGTACCCTCATACCACAGAACTGATAAGAGAAGAGCTAGTACTTGTAAGTCTGAGCCAATAACAAAACACTGCTATCTTATTCTTGTTCATTCTAAAGCCACTGCAGCATTTAATTATCATCACAATAAACCACTACATCACATATGCTCCTAAGTCATTACATGTGTATCACATCCCATGGTTGTTTAGAGCTGTCTAACATTAGTGATTAACAGAAGATGCTTATCAGAATAAAAAGAAAGTAGATAAAACTTTAAAACTAAACTCAGATATTTTTACCTTAGATACATCTAATAATTTACTTTGAACTTCAATGATTTTGATATTATCAATCCAATACATTCCAGGGAAACCCTATTTGACAAATCTAACATATGTGCAATGATGTTCCAATATCAGACTTTTTCATAGTATTAGTAGCTCCCATAACTTACTTCAGTGGAATTCAAATTGTAAATAAAAAAATATGTTTAAATCATCTACGAAATTCAACAATCAAATTATATAAAGGACAAATAAAATACACATTAATCTCTATCTCCCTTCAAATAATGCAGAGGCTGATCAGCACAGGTGTACCCGCCTCTCAGGTCTGTTATCTGTAGGGATCAGCTGATTCTTAAATTCTTTACCGGCACGCTAGCCTTTTACCAACGGAATTATACACATTACATTGCTACAATTAAAACATTATATATCCAGGTTATCGAATTCATTTCCGATCAGAGGTGTCAACAGCTTAATCCCGTGTTTGTTGAGGAGAAAATAAAGGTAACGTAAAATCCCAAGGTTTTGTTTACACACATGTGAATCTCCGAGCAGGTGGCACAGCGCCTAACTTCACTTACTTTGTGTGGGGCTCCTAAAAGTTTGTGTACACCACCAATCTGACTTATCAGAGGAACGGTGATGTGAAACAAAAAATTTGGTGGACGCGTAGGTTCAGGGAAATTTGTACTCGCAAAAGGGTCCGTATCATCCAGGTACTGCACTCTACACATAAACGTCGCCATGTTTTAATGTGCTACTGACAGCACGCCGAGTTGACCCCTGAACCCTTCACTTGCATATTCATACGCCACCAGGTGAACAGGTGAAACTAGACATCCTTGCGGGTGAAACGCTCACGGCGGAGTGGCACGCCACAGTGAGGCGATAAACCGGCCGTTGCAGCGGCTGACTCGGAAATTCTGTTATCATCACTCAGGCTAATCACGATAACATAAAAAAAGATGTGGGATGATTCACTCGGAACCACAGCGGAAGCCGCAATCAGGCGGGGGAGTAGCAGACAGGTAACTCGGAATAAATTAATTAGTATTTTCACGAGTTGGTTCAATTTGATTTGTTATACGGACGATAAGAAAAAAAATGCGTTTTACGAAAACACATGTGAAAGATGAGTGAGTGTCTGTTAGTGAAATATAATCATGAAAACATTATAATTAGATAACTTATAATCACTCCTGATATAGATAAACCACAAATGGAGAAGGTTTATATAGGCAATGCCTGTTATCTCATCCATTGGTATATATTTATACAATAAAGTTTGTGTTGAAAAAAAAAATGTGCTAGAACTTCACACCGAAATTCTTAATTAAATCCTAAATACTAGAGTAGTATTAAGTCAAGGACATTGAAAAAACTTACTTTGTTTAATCACGGACTTAAAAGACTATTTCAAGTATGCCATAAATACATAAAATACATTTACGTCAAATATATGTCGTAAAATATAATAAAATTTAATAAAAACGGTACGCATGTATTTTTACATGACAATAACTAGCATCTTGTTATTTGGCGTGCAATTTATGCCGTTATCTATACTATAAAAACATCAACACAATAGTTTGTTTTGAAGCGGATACTCTCATAAAGGGACCTCTTCACATCATATTATTAAGTATGTCAAAATGAAACCGTTTCACAAAGACTTATTGTTACTGTTGGAGACTAATCAGGGATGTTCGGTTATGTATACATATGACCCTATAATGTCATCCGGAATAGGACAAAAAATCATGCTGAGTTCAGACAGTCAACCATATAGATTTATCATATACTTTTATTAATATTTTTTTAAGCTTGTTAGGTCATCGGAACGGTTAACCGTGAGCATAGAAAACAAACCTTCATAGTAGACGGTTACCCAAGGTTGTTCATAATTTCACAAGTAGTCCACAGAAAAAAAGAATCTAGTTACATATTGCGACTATTGATTTACAAATATACCAGTATTTCTACAGCACCAGAGAATATCGAGGGTAGATCGAATTAAACGATGATCGTTGCCATACCAAAATAAATAAATAAGTAACTGAAGATGATCGACACTGAATGTATGAACATTGATATAGGGGAAGTAACTCGAGAATCACACAATCATACAAGAGTTATTTCCCTTGGTCTAAAATCCAACAACGGATGCTGTTAAAAGTTAACCTGCTATCGTTGTTTTGTACAAGTGATATACCTTTTGCAAGGTTTTAAGAAGTTGATTGAAAACGCAAAAAATTGATATGTTGCCTCACTTCATTTGGTTTATCAAAAACCTTCATTTATACTAAACTATTCCATTTTTCTTTTGTCGCTAAATTTTCCGATTTTCAAGTGCCGTAAAATTCTTTGGTTCTCCCGAGCTCAGTGGATACCAATTATTGTTTTAAGTGTGTTTATTGTTTGATCCCAAATCTCTTGGCAAGTGACCCCCAGTTAGGATTCACGTATTTCAATCGTGTGACTTGTGGTGATAATTCGTTGAAATTTGCTAAAGACTGTATGAAAAATATCTTAGCAACAGGAACTAACGTTGAAATTATTGACGCGATTAACCGAGCCAACGGATTAATTACACTGTTTGCATCATAAAAAACAGTCCACAAGCATTCAACAAAAGTCATAAAGTTCACTGAAGTTCATCTTGAACATGTTATGTTAGAACAAACAATATCTATCAACAGTATAAACTAACTCACCTTTCTCACGTTGACGTTCATGCTCTCGAGAAGCTCGTTAACGGTGTCATATCCTTTAAAACTATAGTCCGACTCCGTGACTCCTGGAACTCTGATGACCTTTCCTGAACCTTGACTCCGGCCATAGCAAAGGTCAAGGATATCTGTGATAGTTACTGAACCCTTGTTCCGTTTGAGGACGTTAAACATTTGCTGCCCAGTCGACCCCGATTGTGACACTGGTGACGTCACGGATTCCGTTTTCCTCCTGGAGGTTGACGGACGCGTCGACAAAATCGACTGTCCACCCTTGGGCTCCTCAATGTCCACCAATTTTTCTTCTGGAGGGAAGGCGTAATCAGACGAGAACATCAATGTATGTTGACAAAGTTTACCCACAAAATTATTTTTTACACGTGGTCATAAGTACTGAAATTTTCTCCAAATTAACCTGTAACCATTGCGACAAAGCCATATAAAACAATCCTCTATCAAACAGAATTTCCTCCCGGTAAATAATTCTAATAATATGTTTACAAAACAGGTCCTATTGACAGGATATGCGTAGTATACTAATTAAAGCCAGCGATGTTGACCATGCTACTGTCTATATTTAGAAGCAATAATATAGTATTTAAGTTTTGCATGGATTTTAATCACATAGCAGCTACGGCATGTCGATTTAGACGGCCAAATTTTAGGCATAAATTGTTTTTTTGCATATACATGAAATAAAAATGACCAACCTGTAAATGGACCGGCCACCATCGTGATGTAACGTTGATAAAGATAACGTTCATGCTGATATAACACACAGCTGAGAAAACTTTTTTCTATTAGTCAAAAGCTTAAAAACTGTATCTCAACATTCTTGCGGTTAAATAGCTACAATTGACTTCTTTACTTAAACCACAACAGCTCAATATAACAAACCGCCAAGGAGAAAACAGCCACCGAAACCAACGGTCACACGGACATAGGACAATACTTGGCTGTACAGGGAAGGGAGTCGGAATGTTAGTCACCGCCTATCGTATTCTATTAGCTATTATTAGTTTTAACCATGGGGACTGATGAAGTCAATTGGTGCAAGTTGGTTTCATCAACTACGGATGTAAATAAAAACAACTGCTAACATGCAGGACTGGAGGTGCCACACTCTGGGTATGCAAAGCACACGGTGATGATTTTGTTTTACATTTTTTTTGGTGGTTGTAAGTTTAATGATTTGTGAAAGGTGGCATCTTTTGAGTAGTAATAAGTATTGCTATCGTTGTTCGATAAGACCATGTGAAGATATATAAATACGCGCATTATAAATGAAATTTCCTTTTTTATCGTTAATATAATTCATAGATTATTTTAGATCTACAATGACAGAAACATATGCAGAATGTCCATTATGAGATATTTAAAAGAGACAAACCGAAAAAAAACCTCTTAAACTTTGAAATATAACTTGATTTAGAGTGGTCCGAATTGTATCTAGTGTGTGAATTATCATTCACAGAAATCCAAAAGTGTAAATGAAGTAAGCATTCATTCCTTTTTAAACTAATTGGTTAATACTAAGACACGACGCTAACTAACCGATGTTAGACATATTGTTATGAAATCTCCCCCACCCCCGGACGTCGGGGAAGCTTTACCATGGTAGAGAGAGTAAGTAGAAATTCAGTGTTAGCACAAGTAGAAGCGGAAGCAGCACAAAACAGTCATGACGTCATCATTTATAAATAAAACTTTCATAAGCCACAATATAAAAAGATTAAATGAAAACATAGTAATGCTATCCTATTCATACCAGACAAGCTGTAATAACAACAAATGGTATTATTTCAGTTAAACAATAAAAACTCTGCCGCCAAGACATCTAGGCCACAACACAGCCACCAAACCATGTATGACGTCATAACTTTTGCACAAAGCACAGGCAAGTATTTACCTGGGACATTGGGAGATGGCTTGAGAGGGTCAGGATGTTTGGGAACAGGAGTGTCCATCAGATTTGGGGGTCTGTCAGATTTATCTTTGCCGGAAGTCTGTCCAGCCGTACCCCCGCATTCGTCCTTACTAGCGGGTCCAAGAAACCTGTCAATATCTTGTACTTTGCCAATGTATCCACTTTTAGTACGGCGGACGTAGCGTTGTGACTGACGCTTTTGATCCTTACCTTCCGGTCCTGTCTTGGGTCCTCCGGGCACCAGGTCTGGGAGTCCTTTGTTGGCCCCTGGAGACGGGGCGTGGAGACGAGACTGGGACACGGGTGAGTGAAGTCCTTCGTTTGATGTTACAGAATTAGGTGACTTCGTCGCGTGGAGTGTGCCGTCATCTGGGACAACCGAGTTAATGGATCCGGCGGACGCCGAGTTGCTCATGTGCGCCAAACTTTCGTTTGAGATGGCAAGCTGTCCTGGCCGACTGTAACTGGGAGGATACTCAACAATCTTCTCCTCTAAAACGCCCTCGCGCGAGTTGCTACGTCGTGCTTTCCCATCATCCAACATCCCCTCTCGCGAATTGCTCCGTCGCACTTTCCCCTCATCCAACATGCCCTCACGAGAAGTGCTTCGTCGTACTTTTCCCTCATCCAACATTCCCTCACGAGAATTGCTCCGTCGCACTTTTCCCTCGTCGAGCATGCCCTCACGTGAGTTGCTTCGTCGAACACGGCTGTCGTCAAGCATGCCCTCCCGAGAGTTTGGCCTGCTGCCATGCTTCTTCTGCGAATGTGGTCTATTTGGCGAACTTTCTCTATTAAATCCAAACTGAGAGCTGTCGCTCGTGTGTCCGCGATCATAATCATCTCGCCTTGATTTTCTATCATCTAGATTGTCTTCCCTAGATCCTTCTCGCGTCAAACGACGCGCACCGTCACCAGAGGGTGGTCTGTGTGAACGACGCATCCTGTTGGGAGACTCATCTCGAGCGATCGCATAGTGCTCACCTTCGCCCCTATTTAGTTCTGACTTGCGATAGTCTTTGTTGCGGTAATGTCCATCTAAGTCATCGTCACCAGAAAACACGTTATCGTGTGAATCATCACGTCGATACTGTCTTCTCCCCGGGGAGTGATCACGGTAAGGAGGATGTTCCTGCTCACGACCGTAATTACCAGACCCACGAGAGTCTCTACCCCTGCTTCTTTCTGGAGACATGACCTTATTCTCATTTGGCCTGGAATTCGGATTCACTGGATAATCATGAGCAGAAAAATACTCGCCCGAATCACTCCTTGGGAAGCCAGTTTCGAGATGTCGAGTCGGCGGTTGAGACTGTGGAGGATGGTCTTCATAGTACGGGTCTGGATTTGGTAGGTTTTGCTTCCATTGTTGTACTTTCTCAATGCTATCTCTTAACGAAATGGTCTCCTGAGTCAAGGGGTCAGTAGGTTCATCTAGAAGTTCTTTACTTCCATGCCGTCTTCGTCGCTGTACCGGAACCTCTTCCGGAGAGTGGACAATAACTTCTGGTTCAGGAGGTGCATCCAGCAACTCCTTACTGCCGTGCCTTCGTCTCCTCGCGGGTTTGTCGTCGAGAAGACTATCTCGGGAGTTGGATCGACTGTAATCCTGAGCCATCTCCCGCTGTGAGCGTCGATCTCTGTCTGACCCCTGGGAACGTCTCTCACCACGACGTGAACTTGGTCTTGCATCCTCCTCAGCGTTGTCATAGTCAGGCTCTACATTAGCCTGCTGCCGGCGTCGTCGCCTTGGAACTTCCTCCTCCTCAGGTTTCTTCATTGGAGTAGACGTTCCGTACACAGACTGACGCCATGATTTCTCTGGAGGAATTTCTCCCAAACTTTCATCTTTAGCTGATGTATCGCGATACGAAAATCGTTTGCTCCTCGGACTATCCGTTGCGTTATAACCTGGTGACATTGGCTGTTTGTTTTTGTCAAACTTATCGCGATATTTATAGAATGAGTCATCTTTGCCGTCTCCACCTCCACTATCCATCATGGCCAAGGCAGCCATAGCCGCCTTTTCCCTTAGGTCACCGCTCGCCTCGCCGCCATAGCTGCCAGACGAGTGCCGACTCCGGCGGGAGGTGGGTTGGTCCATATGTGTTTGAGTAGAACAATCGACAAGAGTAGGGTTTCGATAGTCCCTATACCGACTCTCACGCCGCGAGTCTCTGTTGCTCAGTGGCCTTATACGTTTGGTCCGCGAAACTGACTTTTTGTCCTTTCTGTAACGTGCATCCCGTTTCGGGGCTTCATTTTCAGGCATTGGCGAAGTTCCCCTCGATATAAGGTACCGACCCTTGAAGCCTTCTTTTTCCGCCTCGGGCGCACTGTCGTCCTCGTCACTGTCCGAAGACACGGAAACTTTCTTCCGTGGAGGCGGCCGAATGTAGTCACGTGACGACCGCCTCCTCTCATATCTGTCACCTCTATCCCTAGCAGAATACTCGACGTCCGATGATCGCGACACCTGGCGGTCGTACTTCCTGTTAACTGGTGGCGAGACCTCTGAACTACTTTTGTAAGTGGTGTACGGAGACGGGGTGGCAGCTTTTGTTCCGTATTCGTAGCGTGACGATCGCTGACTCACAGGCGAAGTCTCGCGACTTGCGGTTCCGTAACTGCGACCTGACCTTGACGACCCTCGATCCCATGAACTATAAGACCTTGTACTCCCACCATAATCTGACAAATATCCAGATTTGCTTCCATAAGGGTCTGATCCCGCACTCCGTGACGAATATTTGTCATATCCACCACCGCCTCCATAGTGATCTCCCCTTGTTTGTGTGGTCCCTCTACTGCTTAACGGCGTATACATACTAGTTCCGGTATCTTTACCCGTGTTGCGCGTTGCCTCCGCTGACGAAATTTTCTGTATCCGGTCTCGGACGGAGCCGCCGCCGTAACCGTATCGAGACCCGGATGATGAGGGTTGTTGGTAGCCTGATGAGTAGGTTTTTGTTGGTGATCCGTAAGACGACCCGCTTTTGTTTTGCGAGCCGTACGACGGACTGAGATAACTACTGGTTCCTACACCACTCCCATACCTACTGGTAGAACCGCCATAGCCCTTCCCGGACCCCATGTTGTCGTAAAGCTAAAATGAAAAAAGAAACGCTTGATAAGTCGCAGGAATATTAGAAATAAAATCCTCGTTTTTAACCATTTTTAAATAAAGAATTTAATAAAAAAAATTTATCAAGATGGCGACTGATATCGCCAACTTAAACTTATAATGCATTTTTGCATTGATTTCAAATGCAGTAGTTGACATGGATAAAGTATACTGAAACATCACGCTCTAAATCATCCTATAACATTAACTTAGAAGTCAACTGTCTACAATGGTACGTTGTCTCGGAGTTGAAAAATCTCAACATAGTCACAGATGTTATATTCGCACATACTTCATAGGATGATTATGTGGTTGCTATGGATGGGACTATCCTATGTTGCACGATAGAGAGAAAGACGTCCTTCCATATTGTATTCAACACAATCACAGATATTTTACTCTATCCATCCGTCTACATAACAAACTACACATCCTTCAACATTACACTCTACATATCCTATAATATTACACTTTACACATCCGTCAACATTACACTGTACACATCTGTCAACATAACACAATACACACCGTCAACATAACACTGTACACATCTGTCGACATAACACAATACACACCGTCAACATTACACTGTACACATCTGTCAACATAACACAATACACACCGTCAACATTACACTGTACACATCTGTCGACATAACACAATACATACCCATCAACATTACACTGTACACATCTGTCAACATAACACAATACACATCGTCAACATTACACTGTACACATCAGTCAACATTGCATTCTTAACATCAGTCAACATTGCATTCTAAACATCAGTCAACATTGCATTCTAAAAATCCGTCAACATCACAGCCTACACACCAGTGATCATTACAAACTATACAACCGTAAACATTACACTCTGCCCATCAAACAACATTACATTGTACACATCCGTCAACATTGCATTATAAACATCCTTCATCATTGCATTCTAAACATCCGTCAATGTTGCATTATAAACATGTCAACATTGCATTCTAAACATCCGTCAACATTGCATTCTAAACATCCGTCAAAATTGCATTATAAACACCCGTCAACATTGCATTATAAACATACTTCAACATTGCATTCTAAACATCAGTCAACATTGCATTATAAACATCCGCTTACATTGCATTATAAACAACCGTCAAAATTGCATTATAAACACCCGTCAACATTGCACTCTTAACATCCGTCAAAATTGCATTCTTAACATCCGTCAAAATTGCATTATAAACATATGTCAACATTGCATTCTAAACATCCGTCAACATTGCATTCTTAACATCCGTCAAAATTGCATTATAAACATACGTCAAAATTGCATTCTTAACATCCGTCAAAATTGCATTATAAACATACGTCAACATTGCATTCTAAACATCCGTCAACATTGTACTCTAAACATCCGTCAACATTGCATTATAAACATCCGTCAAAATTGCATTATAAACATCCGTCATCATTGCATTATAAACATCCGTCAACATTGTATTATAAACACCCGTCAACATTGCATTATTAACATCCGTCACATTGCATTCTAAATATCCGTCAAAAGTGCATTTTAAACATCCGTCAACATTGCATTATAAACATCCGTCAACATTACATTATAAATATCCGTCATCATTGCATTCTAAACATCCGTCAACATTGCATTCTAAACATCCGTCAACATTGCATTCTAAACATCCGTCAACATTGCATTCTAAATATCCGTCAAAAGTGCATTTTAAACATCCGTCAACATTGCATTATAAACATCCATCAACACTGCATTCTAATTCTAAACATCCGTCAACACTGCATTCTAAACATCCGTCAACATTGCACTCTAAACATCCGTCAAAAGTGCATTTTAAACATCCGTCAACATTGCATTCTTAACATCCGTCAAAATTGCATTCTTAACATCCATCAAAATTGCTTTCTTAACATCCGTCAAAATTGCATTCTAAACATCGGTCAACATTGCATTCTAAACATCCGTCAACATTGCATTATAAACATCCGTCAACATTGCATTCTAAACATCCGTCAACATTGCATTCTAAACATCCGTCAAAATTGCATTCTAAATATCCAACCGTGAACATTACAATCTGCCCATCCAACAACATTACGTTTTACACATCCGTCAACATTACACTATTCACATCCGTCAACATTACACTGTACATTTCCGTCGTCATTTCACTGTACACATCTGTCATCATTTCGCTTTAAACATCCGTCATCATTTCACTGTATACATCTGTCATCATTTCACTTTAAACATCCGTCATCATTTCACTGTACGTCCACAGAAATTTCTCTACATATTTAAAGTAGAAAGGTACAATAGGAGAGTAAATATGATATGTCTACCGATGATTTGATCGATGCTAAAATGTAATGCACACGTGTACAACACGTACATTCCGGTAAAATACTACTACTAATAATAATAATAAATAATAATAATAACAATAATAATTATCCATCAAACTAATTGACCTGGCATATTAGGGAAGTGTAGTTACGTCATTTACAATCAGGTAATGTACTTCTTGGTTTGAAAAGGATGAAAAATGCTGATGATGCTCACCTAGTAATACTAGGTTTGGTGACGTAATAGTTTATCTGTGTCTGTGTACTGATAAGTATGAAAAGTATAAATAAACTTTGTTTATTGTATATTATTATATCCTTGTAACATAAATGGACGTGTTTGGGATTTGCTTCTAATTTTCTAATTTCGTTCTCATATCCACATTGAAAAAAAATTGACGATATTCTAATTGTAAAAATGAATGTTGTTTCATCACTAAACTTAATTTCATTTTCGCCACGTGTATGTAACTTACATGAGAAAGCGTATTACGTACTAAAAAGTCTGTATCAATATATTCTTACGGTTAGCACAGTCCAGTGTATGATGAAAAACTGTCAAAATCGGTTACAGTTAGATCTTTCGTGTCTTGTTCAAAGTTCGTTCGTATCGAAAAAAAATACTTACCCAGGTGCTCTGTTAATATCCTATACATACAGATATACATCCACAAGAAACACTTGAACAAAATTAATCCTCTAGGTAAAAGTAATGGTGCCGTATTTTATACGTACTTTGCATGAGCTGAGAAAGTTTGACTAAGAAATAGAGAGAATCACTGAAACCATCCTCGTTATTATGAAACATATCCCAAACTAAACATCGGGCGTGCGATGCACGCGGAAATGCCATCTATTGTTTATGTATGTATTAAAGCAACCCGAGCCGGTGAATCAGGGAACTTTCCTGTGTATGAAGTCACGCTGGGCCTATGATACATACAGCGCGTGCATCTTCATCTCAAACATTAAACAGAAGGCCTGTATTTAAACCATAAGCATCAACTAACTCGTAAAAAATCATCAAGGAATCACATATAATAAACGTATTCATCAGACGGTCATTTTTAGTAATACTGTCCAGTTGTCGCGGTTCTATTTCTTGGCCCCCTCCGAGGGCCCCTCAGGTTAGAAGCAATGAATCTTACCGATGATAGTTTGAGAGGGTTACAACCATCCTCTTATCTCTGTGGGGTGAGCATGAGTGCAACGTGCGCCGCACATTGGGAGTATGTACACGGTACCCCCTTCCCTCCATCTCTCCCCTGGGGGTCACATGGGATTCCAATTATCCTAGCCACAGGATTTTATACATCGTGCACCTACTCATTATGAAGGGCAGAGGGAATGTCCATCCCAGAAGCTGACAAAAATAACGTTTACGTCATGATATTGTCACATACAAACAACTACGCCATGGCAATGGCGAACTGATGTGACTTCCAAAACAAAAATAAACAAAAAAATAGAGTATTAATAGACTAACGGGACGATTGTTCGTTAGGGAGATTCGTATCTTTTTCGTCAAAGAAATTTGTATCCATTATTCGAAATGTTATAGGAAGGATACTTCAAAGTTTCCAATATATGCTTTTCAAAACCATTCAGAGTGAAGTCAAATAAAAAAAGGACTTCTTATAATGACAAAATAATTTTCTTATTCCGTATTTTTCAACGTAAATATAAAAGGTTGAAATACGCTACCATTACAGTGAAGGTACATGTGAACCTTAAACACATGGGATCTGTCTGGACGATAGATACGTGTTACAGATTCAATCCAAGTTAAAGGATGCGTTTAAATCTGTAAACATTTTTTTGTGCGAAAATAAGTCTATCCGGTGTACGACAAATCGAATATAATTCAATGAAGTGAAGAGTCCGGATAATGAAGTAACAAGTCCGGGTAATGAAGTAACGAGTCCGGGTAATGAAGTAACGGGTCCGGATAATGAAGTAACGAGTCTGGGTAATGAAGTAACGAGTCCGGATAATGAAGTCAGGAGTACGGGTAATGAAGGAACGACTCTGGGTAATGAAGTAACGAGTCCGAATAATGAAGTAACGGGTCCGGATAATGAAGTGACGAGTCCGGATAATGAAGTAATGAGACCGGAAAATGAAGTAACGAGCCTGGGTAATGAAGTAATGAGACCGGATAATGAAGTAACGAGACCGGATAATGAAGACAGGAGTCTGGGTAATTAAGTAACGAGTCCGGGTAATTAAGTAACGAGTCCGGATAATGAAGTAACGAGTCCGGGTAATGAAGTAACGAGTCCGGATAATGAAGTCAGGAGTCCGGGTAATGAAGTAACGGGTCTGGGTAATGAAGTAACGAGTCCGGATAATGAAGTCAGGAGTACGGGTAATTAAGTAACGAGTCCGGATAATGAAGTAACGAGTCCGGATAATGAAGTGACAAGTCCGGATAATGAAGTGACGAGTCCGGATAATGAAGTAATGAGACCGGATAATGAAGTAACGAGCCCGGGTAATTAAGTAACAAGTCCGGATAATGAAGTCAGGAGTCCGAATAATGAAGTAACGAGTCCGGATAATGAAGTGACGAGTCCGGATAATGAAGTAACGAGTCCGGGTAATGAA